GGCGCAGCGGGGGGGGGGCGGTCGTTTCCCCTATTTCATTTGCAGAAAAGGAAAGAGGAAGAAGAACAAAGCAAAAAGAAAACGAAAAAAAAGAAAAGAAAAAGAAAAGAAAAAGGGAAAGGATAGGAGAAGAAGAGAAAAGAAAAAGAAACATCTTGCAAAATGTCTTTGAAATGATGGGTGGGCGTGGCCCCCCCCCCATTATTTGCCAGAAGGGTTAAAGAAGAAGAAGATCCTTGCCAAATTAATAGGGCGGATCGCCTCAAAAACATTCGAGTGAATTGTAGCCTACAAGGCTGGCACCCACTTTCTCGAAAAATCGAAAATTAGAGTCCGAATTTTAATCCATATAAAACCTTGCTGCTTAATTTTGATAATCGATGTTTTCTGTTATTTCCTTTGGGGATCCAAAGGTTGCCGTGACCATTCATTTGTTCGATGATGCTGTTTCCGGCGCGAAAGGCCGTTAGGCACACTTTTGAGGTGTTAACACTTATAAAATTATAATTACAACATTCAGACTCACCTCTAATAATACTCTTACATGCTATCTTATTTTTTACCTCCGCCCACGGAGTTGAGGGGGGTTAGTATGATCGGGTCTGTGCGTTTTTGCCGGTTGTACAAGTTAGCCGCGCGCGTGTTTGTGGCTTGTGTGTGTGTGTTGTGTGTGGTGAGTGTGTGTGTGTCGGTGTGTGTGGTGTGTGTGTGTGTGTGGTGTGTGGACTGTGTGTGTGTGTTGACCGCGCATCGATTTTACGCGAGTCGTCGAGCAGGAGCGAGCGTAGTCAATCAGTGACTTGGGGTATATCGTGGCGTATTCGTGTGTTCGTGAGTCGTTGGCCGGGCGTATGGCGTATTGTCTCACTGGCGGAGGTTGCTACTCTCCGCTGAGTTCCCTCTAGTTCTGAGTTTTAGTTGGTGTGTGTGTGTGTGTTGTGGTGTGTGTGTGTGTGTGTGTGTGTTGTGTGTGTGTGGTTGTGTGTGTATGTGCGGCGTGTGCGTGTGCTGTGCGTTCATCTCTCTCCGCGCGTCTGTTTTTCTCTCCTCTACATAAACAACAATTTATTGGTTCAGTGCTACAGCATAGATTTTTAAAGCAAATCACTGTTTCCCTTCCCCCCACAGTTCGGAGACCCTTTTTTAAACGGCTGTCCAAGTTTCATAGCATTGATTTTCAACGAATTCCTAGCTAGTTCCGGCAGACCCCATTGCTTTCCCCATAGCTCCCCCATAGCCGGTTCTCGCGATGCCTACCGACCATATCAACAAATCATTAGCTTCAGAGACCACCATGTTTCAGGTCTGAGTTAGTTTACAGAGCCCCCGCCCATTTTTTAACTTGTGGCAGTCACATACAAGATACACTTACCATATGTGAGGTGAGTGCCCCCACCCCGGTGTTTCATTCCCTTGCGTTATATGTTTGCCCTCCCTGGTTCCCTGCCACAATTTTTGTCATGCAATTTGATGGCTTTGATTAGCTAAAACTCTGGAGAGCTCTCGCCGGACGCTGCAGGGCCTCTGCCCTGGGACCCCGCCGGAGCCACTAGCGCGGGCCCCTGGGCCGCGATCTCATCAACGCTTACGCAACGCTGCTATTGCGCGTACACAGAGTTTCTACGAAGTACGTTACCGCAAGCTCGTAGGTGCAGATTCACTCAACAGCGCGCGTTAGCACTTGCGTAACGCAAATGTTGATGAATTTCCGCGTGTAAATCCATCATACGGCCATCGCTAGCTGCTGGCTGTTGAGCGGGCAGTGCCTTAGCATAAACCATCACACTGCTGCGACACATTACCATAGGAACCAAACACTGACGCCCTCTTGTATGTAAACGCTTATGGCCTTAGCTGTCTACAGGAGTGCTGGGGCGATGTTGATAGTTGTCCTTATCTTCGTTTTGTATTGATTGCGGTTCAACCCTCGATGAAGCAGCGACACGTACACGTGCTTGTGGCGTGCGTACGTACCACGGCGTGCCGTGTCCGTGCGTGTGTCGTACACGTTACGTGCTTGCGTACGTACAACTGGCGTGACTGGTTGCGTGCGATGTGCACGTTACACGTGAGATGGTACGTACACGATGCGTATAGCTAGTGTACTGCACGTACACGTGCGGTGTGCGCTGTGCACGGTACTGACGTACCGTGCTTGCGCTCACTGTAGGCAACCGCGGCGCTGTGCGGCGTGCGTGATGGCGCCACGCTTACACGTTTGCGTGTGTGGGTCGTACACTGTTTTGCTTGCTTGTGTGTGCACGATATCTAAGTGCGTGTCGTGCTGCACGTTATTTTAACACGGCTAAATACGAACTCGCTTTGCTAACGTAAACCCAATCTGCCTAGCTATTGAACCATTAAAACATAAGCCTGTCAAAGGCGCGCGCGCCTGTCTGTGTAGTTAGGGTATATTATTATTTATTTTTAGTTGAGTAGTTAATTTTATAATGTGTTTCTCAATATAAATACATTGACATGCTGCGGTATGCTGAGTAAAACCACCTGCCGGGAAAGTTATCAAGTGGTTTTACTGAGCTACCCCTCGTCAGGCTCGTGTAGAAAATACCCTGGCGTCGCCCCTGCTAGCACTGGATAGAGAAGATGCATCTCCGTGGCTGTAGCCTGAGGAAATAACCAGGGCCTCCCTGCCAAGGATAATTGTGTGGGGGTGCGCAGCATCTCACTAAACGTAGTCGATTATAGTAGGGCGGGACTCGGTCTTCCAAACAGCTCTAAAACGAGAAATTCATAGAGTTAAATCTAGCAATGCGCCTGCCTATAGTGTACCAAAAGAAATAATACATTGTCGAATCCATATATAATTTTATATGAAAAGCTGTGCTACATGGGCAAAGCCCAACCTATATAAAGAGTCTTTTGTTATACATCATGCACCATTAACCTTCGAAATAAAAACTCTGTCATCGCAAGCTCATAGCAAGAAATATTTTCGGTATCATCGCGCTTAATTGGGCCTTGGCTATGGAATAAACTACCCACAACATCTGTCAGGCTACAGACCTCAAACCCTGAGGCTCCTAAGATCGTGGTCAGGTCCATCCTGCGGATGTGCGATGTGCCACTGAGCCCCCCCCCCATGTGATAAACTGGGCTGTGCTTCGATATGAATCATTAACCCAGCTGCTACTGTATTCTTCTCGCGACCTTCGCCATATGTCTGTTATTTGTAGCACTTTGCATCGAATCCTTATACATGTCTATATCTCTTCTTTGCATTTATTTCCTGCAATTGTTCTTAAACTTACATTATGCAGTCACGGTAACGACTCCATCACATGCCATATATGCTCCTTTTATCCACGTGTGTTGCACGCATATATGGTTGTTAACCACAGCAACGTATTTTCTCAGTAAAATTTTTCTTTTAATCGACTCGAAGTTTTGGCATCCTTTTGTGGTTATTGTTTTTATGTTTTAATATTCGCGTGTTTTCGTATGTGTACGTCAGTTGCCTTTACTAGTTGCTATGATTTATACGTTTAGTGTCGCCTTGTAAAATGTTATAATATAGTGTGCGTGATATAGTTTTACTAAAAGTACATACCCTGGGGCTAGGCTGCCCTGGTGTCGTCACGTGTCACTTGTTAAACTAGCATTAGAACTGTTTTTTTATTATTGAACTGACGGTGAGGCGCTTGCAAGCTCATATGATGATATATCGTTTACCAATGTACCGTCTTTAAATAAATAAAAATGAATAAATATGAATAAATAAAAATTTATACCCAGCACGTTTTTATTTTTTACAATTATAAGTGACTAAGTTTTTCAAACTTCCCCAAAACCTGTACTCTCTAGACTCTAGAAGAGTGCATGGGAGCAGCTTGTGCAGTGACCCGATATTTGCTCATCTAACTAACTAAAACATTATTAAATATTTTACTACATTTCTATAACCTTTATTTTTACGACAAATGCTTCTAAGACACATGTCCACAAAGATATGCTCAAACGATATTATAGACACTTAGTAGAAACGCAACTTGTTTTTCTAAATTCTTTTTTTTTTAAATATACGGCCCGTGAACAACGCCGTGTTACACTCACACGACGTATCCACAAAATATAACATAAATGAAACGAAACTGAGTGATGGGCGTTTCATTGATAACGAGGGAGTTGCTGTGCATCAATTCTTAGCGATACTTTATTACGAAACCCAGGATTTAGCTCTACCTGTATAGCTTTTCGCCCGGGAGCGAAGGTACGCACAGGTAGAGATAGCCTACCACGACTGCAAATAGAAGCATATATATATATATATATGCGGCGGCGTCTTTGATCTTTGCTGCCATGACACTCGTGGATACTCTCCGCTCAATCATCGTGCGGCGATTATCATGGTATACGCGATTGAGTTTTATATTTGCATTTTGTACTTATTTGTGTAAATTGGGCTCCAATACGCAATAGCGCTATAACAGAACAGTTGCACTGTTAATTTAAAATTTAAAATGGCAAAATAAAATTAACGTGTACTTGTGATTGATGCGAAATATGCTCAGGCCTGTATAGAGAGGCTATAATATAGGCGGCTGCATCCGGGTTCTGTACTTTTGATACATTTTCGTATTGACGGGTGTCGTAAAGACGTGGACGGCAACAGCAAGGTTGGTGCGGGCGCGTGTATCAATACTGATCGAGTTGAGACACACTATAAGAGTTCAGTTGCACTATGAATCCAACTCGACAAGACGATGTTATGGACTATGTTCGCAAGACGATCAAATCGAGACTTGCAGACTGGCAGAGAAAATCTTTGCAGACTTCATAAGTAAGTGACAAGAATTATGCCACAAAAGAAAAGCGCGTAGGTTCAGTGCACCACGTTACAGGTCAATCAACCCAACGGCATTTACTGCAAACTGCGTGTAAAGAAAAAAACAATTGACTCAACCGACATAATATTATTAACAGCACTGTCGTATTAACTGTACGACACTTCGTAGACCACAGTGACTTGCGCTGTTCGAATAATACAATTATAGTCAATAAATACGAATTATATTTACTAACATAGTTTTTAATGGTTATATAGTCTTTATCACCTAATAGTTCTACTTAGACGCTGTTCAAACCTCATCTACAACACGTAATGTCACCGCGCGCACCAGACTGTGCGAGGATACTGTAGAGATATAGACGAGTGCCAGACCTAACAATTAATTCCCGACATTCTCACCCGACATTTGTTCACCCCACATCCTCATCCGACAATTATTGCTCACCTCACATCTCATCCGACAATTGCTCACCGCACATTCTCACCCGACAATTGCTCACCCCACATCCTCACCGACAATTGCTCACCTCACATTCGACACCGATAATCTCAACCGTCATTCTCACGCGACAATTGGCTCATTCGATTTTGCTTCAACTGGCCGACATTTGCTAACCAACTTTCTTACGTACTCGAGTAATTTTATTAATCCAACTGCGCATTTAACATAGGGACGAATCCTTTAAAATTATATTATGTTATTGGCGGAATTGAGAAGATATAATATAGCCTACTGTTCGTGATCGCACGTGAAAAATGTCAAAATTATTCTGCCACTATTCGGTTACATAATACGTCTATCAGTTAAATTAACGGGTACACATACCCAATGGATTGGTCTCTTCGGTCATCTGCCCACCCATCAACCCACCTAGACTAAACTATGGATGCCTAAATGGTCATCATCGCTTCGCGATAGACGACGATCGACGGACCCACGAGTGGATTGCAATACCAAAGTCTACTGAATGTCAGTCTCGCTGTAATAGTGCACTAGCCCATCTTCCCAATTATTGTCCTGTATACAGTGACATAAATTACAAGGTTAGGCCTATATCTGTATTTCCGCGAGCCAAATATCTGTCAAAATTTAAGCTATTTTGTTGAAATTGGTAAATTTAAGTAGAGATCGCATACGTATACGAGTAGTTCGATACAAACTCTCTTGGTTATAAGGTATCCCGCCTCGTCGTCTCAATAAAGGCATATCTACCAGTAACCGTTATAACATTAGAAATGATAAATGTTAAACCCATCTGCAAAATTCTTTATATAATAATCTTGCAAAGGTAAAACGCCTCAATAAATTTTAAACAGAATTTGTACGTTTTTGCATTTTCCTAACGTTATATAGCTTACACAAGACACATTACATTTGCAATTATAAAACGATAATTTAAAGTAGTAGGTTAAAGTAAAGTTACGTTAAGTAAAGTTAAGTAAGCATAGATTATGCATTATCGTGCCTTGGTATATATGTGTAATCTATGGGCGTGCCTGAAGTAACGCTGGCATTCAGCCAAAATATACAATATTGCCATGTTGTACTCGCGGGGTGCACGAAACGCCGGTGACTCATTTCTATACAAAATTACTCACGGTGAAGATAGTCTACGGATAACGTAACCACATTGCCATGGATTTTGGACCGCACTGGTCGTGGTCTCTACTTGCGAAGCAAACTTGCTGGGTGCTTAGCGATCTACGCGACAAATAACAGAAAGCTATAGACATGGGTTTTACCGACAAGTTAACTTATAGGTGTCACGCTAAGAATATCAGCCCCGACGATGAGTCGGACAAGGTTTATATGCGGAAGGAGCTGACTCTTCTCCGTGCCATCGCACTGAGTGCGGGCTCCATCATTGGATCGGGAATATTTGTGTCTCCGAAAGGAGTCCTGATGCACGCCGGATCAGTGGGATTGTCGCTGATATTATGGGTCGCCTGCGGTATCTTCTCTGCGTTTGGGTCTCTATCGTACGCTGAGATCGGAGTAACCGTGCCAAAGTCTGGGGGAATTTACTCTTACATGCACGAAGCGTTTGGATCCTTGATTTCCTTCCTGTTTGTGTGGACAGAGTTGGTGCTCCGCCGGCCAACATCGCAGTGTATCGCCGCGTTAGCCACAGTCAAATACCTCTTGGAGCCAATATTCGTAGGCTGTGACGTCTCACCAGCAACAACTCGTCTCCTTGCTTTGTTTGTGCTCAGTAAGTGCATACTATACGCATCTTAATAGTAGGTATCAGTAAGTAAACTTGCGATGCATTCTTATTGCAACTTTTTGTGTATAGTGTATGCATGCAGAATGTTACCCAAATACGGACCCTAGTTCCTTCCATATGATAAAGCATCTTCCCAAATGTAAGTGCAACAAGTGAGTGAATATATTCTTCGCATGTGTTGCTAATGCGAATTTTACGGTCTGTAGGCCTCAGGCTTCGACATAATATACACGGCGAAATAATGAAGAAGGCCTAGAAACCCCACAATTAAGTGGCGTGACTAGGCTTGGTGTCACATGGTGCGGTAACTCATGGTGTCACCCCCATGGACCTCCTCCCGTACCAGACCATACAGAATCCTTAGTAATGTTTTTTGTACTGTTCTTTGTAATGTTACTCGTAAATCGTAATTCCCGTATATCACTGAATATAATGGCAATAGTAGTGACATAAACAACTATCAAAATTAAAATTACAATATCATACGCACCGCCGTAATGTATTTAAAATTACATAGTTTCATGTGGTTAAAATGAAAATTCGTCGAAAACACGTCAATAAAATTCGAAGTAAAAACGTTTAAGAAGTTAAAGAACTACATCAAAACTATGTTTATTTTAACATTAAACTTGACCGTTACATGAGATACAATAATGGATTAGGTTTGCCTAATCAATAACGGCCAAAATAATGTAGAAGTTGTAGGCAATTGCATATTGAAACGCACTCACAAATGAAATAATACCAAAACGAGCGCAGACGAAACCACATGATTCGAAGCGTCATTGTAATTGGGCAATAATAACAACTCTGACCGGAGCGCATTAGAAGGTTCAAAAGGTAAATTAACATAGAGTTTTAGCTTTGTAGGTATATTGATACAGTATATACATGTAAGCTGGGCGTACGGAAAATGTTTTTGTTATTATAGCTAACTACAGGGATATTTTTATTAAAAATAAAAATTTCTGTTGAAACACTGCACACAATTTTTATAGACAGTCATTTTGGCGTCACCAGCTCGGATCGTCAGAAGACAGTCATTCTGTTATATAATGTAACGAGTCTTTACACTTGGCACAAACCTACAGGTCAATGTACTATACAGTTAGGGTGCCATCATTCTAATCGCAATGAACCGAGATCGTAGCGATTTTTTGCTTTCATATAGTTACACTCACCGCCATCAACTGCTGGAGTGTGACCTGGGCAGCGCACATTCAGAACTGGATGTTTTATATCAAACTGGTGGCTCTTGGTGCCATTATCGTCATGGGGTTCGTCGAGATCATCAAACGCAAAGGCGATGTTCCAAATTTTGATTCTGCATTCGATGGTACTACATCGTCAGTTGGGGAGATAGGCCTTGCGATGTATTCTGGTCTCTTCGCATATGCCGGAGTGTAAGCCAATCTCACAATCCTTACACAGTTAATTATGATTTATAGGGAGTGCTTAATAGATTTAGATTTTAGAGAAATGATTTCATATAGGTTTTTAATATTACATAGCCAACTTTGTTTTAATGTCATTTGACCTCATAGTTAGTGATATATCTCACATGTACATTGTTATTATTCGAACATTTTATTGTTCAGTCGGTTGTGATATTGATGTGCTGCGCCTTTGATCATTTTATGAAAAAAGGCGCAATATAAATAAATATAATAATAATAATAATAATAATAATAATACTATAACGTTATGACCGTTCTTGTATAGTCAATACATATATAGATATCTAATACAGATATGAATTATGGGCCAGCGCCAGTCAGTAAAGTATACTATATCTACTGTAGTTGCGTTAAAATAATTTATAGAATAACCTATATATATATATATATATAAAATAAATAGAGTAAATAATACCAGTGTGAAATGGGTGAAGTTAAAACATATATCGTTACTGTGATTTCTTTCAGCGAAGCCATTAACTATAGTGCCGAAGAATTAAAAAATGTTAAAAGGTATTTATGATTTTTTTGAGCCAATTTACAGAGCAGCTGGTATATGTTACATACACTTAGAGCTCAGTAAACAGAAAACCCCCTATTCACAATTATAAGGTAATTTCTGATACAAACCAATAGTTAAGTGTTTTAAATTAAATGCGGATTTACCGACATTCTAGTTAATGTTTAAATTGACTACGTCACGACTACGTCATTTTCTATGGTAAAATTAGTAAAATTTTTGTTGCCATTTTTTTTACATTAAAAGTAAGAACTAACGGACTAAACGTATCGGCTCAAAATTCTACCTGATAAGACTCTGTTTCTCAACTAGTTTAAAAATCCAATAAACCTAGGACGATTTGATATTGTGTTCCTGCACATTAATTGCTTGCTATTGCGGCTATGTATGAGTCACCGAGTGTATAGTTCACATCGAAACAATATAGTAAAATAAGAAGTATAAATGCAGCAATTTAAACCATAAAAGTGAAACATAAATCACTTATGTTGTGAAAAAGGTGGAAAATTGTTTTTTTTTTTTACTATTTACGGTGACGTTAATCACTATTAACTCCTTTAAAGCCTATGCAACCCTCAAAAAATACGTTGTTGAATACTAGTAAATGTGTAGCTATGTTATTTTCAACTTA